GGGGGGGGGCGAATTGACATTTTTATTTATGTGATACATACAGCTATTTCCCCGTCCATCATATTTCTTCTCCTTGTTTTATTCTGACAACTAATACAGGTATGGTGAAATCCATATATTATATTCTTTCTTTTCAAAGAAGGGACAGAAGTAGTGTTTTGTTTTTTTCCACCTGCCCGTAAAAACAGGATTTTTTTGCGGCAGGTATCTTGAAATGAGCCGTTGGGTTATTGTGGAAGAAGTCGGCTGTTCCCTGAACAACAACAGGCTTGCTTCAGCACTGATTGTGTTTGGGAAAGTGTGGTTTCTTATCTGTCCATTTGGATGAAAGAGATTGTTGGCTTGTGTGTGTGTTGGTGTGTGGTTGTGTGTGTGTTTGGGGGGCGGGGCGGGGGGATTACGTAAAGTGTATGCTCTATTATGTCCCAAAAAAATGTTTAATTTTTTTGTTGCACCCCTCTTGAATTTTTGTAGATATGAGGCGGATCTAGCAAATAGATTATATTGCTCGTTCAGATAAACAGCGTGCATTTAAGGCCTATCTTGTTATTGAAATTGACGTCGGTGATTTTTAAAAATAGACTTTAGGCTCTTTGCCTTGCACATAGAAGGGGATTACTTTGATTCTCACTTTAGAAGATATTTTCTTGAGCATTTCTGTCTTTCAGCTGGAATATATCCCACTCAGCCCAAGTTGGCCTTCACAGGCAGTCGAAGTAGCCTCTACCTACTAAATTATCATAATTGTTTTAATGGAGGACAAAGACCATTTCAAGAATAATTTGTCCTGTGAGGTTAAAAGGGGTTCTTCTACATTTGAGTAAACTTTAGGTACTTTTGAGATATTGGCCGTCAGAGTTTGTGAGTTCTAAATGCAAAAACGTTTTTCTTGGAGCAGAATAGTCCTTTCAGAATGAAAAGTGGTCCACCATGTGGTACATTGAAGATGTTGTTGTTGTTGTTGTTTCAAATCCCTTTAGCTGCGAGCATTTCGCTCTTGGCAGCGCAATGCCTCCCTTAAGTAAATACCTTGTCATCTTGTCAACATAGAGTAGAGCAGGCTTTGTAAGTCTGTAGGTGCCGTGCATTGAAGATAGAACGTGCTGCAAACTGTGACTGGAAACCTCCACAAAACACAGATAGAATCCTTTTAATCTCATAGGACAAATCGCAACTGTTGTATAAGTTAACCTCTTCAGTGCTGAGGCGTTTCCATTTAACTTTGTGCAGACAAGATTAAATCTGAATATTCATTCAAGACAGATTTAAACACAGTCATGATATATTTCCCCTTTTTAAAGACTAAAAAACTGCATAAGTTGCAAATACATCTTCTAAAACTTCCTGAATAAGCCAATAGCAAAACTGTAAGTGAACTGGAATAGGAGAATACAATAGAGGATATGTGTACTCAGCAGTGAAGAAGCTAAGACTCTGTGCATGTTTTTTTCTGCAGCCCGTCTGACCTTGAGGCAGACTTGGAAGACAACCAGGACTACGACAGCACGGTCAGCCACTCGGAGACCAACCTCACATTGATTGGTCGATCGGAATCCTCGGACATGTCTCAGAACCTGCCCAACCGGCCGCTGTGTGCCGCTGGCACGGGCCTGGGTCGCTTCGGTGGGGGTGTGGGCATCACCTCAAAGTTCTCCCCGGAATCAAACCGGGCAGCATTCAAGTTCAACCCCAGCAACATGTCCAGTGACGCTGATTCCCCCCGCACCAACACCCCCTCCACCTCCTCCTCCTCCTCGATTCTGTCTCGATACCGTGAAATGGACTCCCCGCACACGACCACATCCAGCGCCAACAACAACAACAACACCAGCACCAGCAGCGGACCCCCGGACCCTGACTCCCCACGCCGTTTCAACAACAACAGCAACAACAACAACAACAACAGCAGCAGCATTGGTGGAGGCTCGGCAGGCTCAACTTCTTCCTCCTCCACCCTCTCCTCGCAGATCCAGCCCCGCCCCGTGGGCTTCTCCGTGTTCCGAGACAGAGACAGTACGACCGCGACGTCCGCTGGGGGCGGGGTTCTCGGCAGCTCCTCGTCCAGGGGAGATAAACCACCGTACTCCAGCTCGCTCGTGGGCTCGAGGTTCGGCCGGGACCGTGACGGGGGAGCGAGTGGTGCCGCAGGGGCGGGCTCGGCACATTCTCGCCTGGCAAGCTACCAGTCTCCGCGGCCTTTTGTGTCGATGTCGTCTTCTTCAGCAGCTATGAACCAGCAACAGACGGAGACCATCTCACAGCTGGAGAAGGTGAGTTGATCCGCCACACGCTTTCTTGTTTGTTTTTGTTTTAGTAAGGTTTTACAGCGCTCGCAACACAATGTCATATGAGTGCCGAAGATTAGAGGAGTTACAAGAGAGTAACAAACACAAAATTAAAGGAGAGGAGATAAGGACAATAGATGTTTGATAGGAAAGAAGGAGCAAGCCACACCAGAACACCCACCAACCACCCACTCAATGCTTTCTTAATCACAGTATTCACCAACAGTGGCAAAGATGATACACGGGTGGTTGACGGGTGCTCTAGTGTGGTTTCTTCCTTCTTTCCTATCAAACATCTATCGTCCTGGTCTCTCCCTCTTCAGTTATGTGTTTGTTACTCTCTTGTAATGCCTCTAATCTTCTGCACTTATATGACCTTATTATCTTGCAAGTGCCACAGCTGTTATTGAAACTAAAGAGATGATACACCATGGCAGATGCCATGCATAGTCCTTTTAGATCTGATGTTTATATATATATGTGTTACACATATCCTCTCAATACTGACTGGGATAATTGTATATATTTTTAACACCCACATCTACACAATTAAGATAATTTAAGAGTCAGGCTGTTTCACCCGCCTTATTTGAGCCCAACCTGGGCCAAGTGAGATGCAACATCCCAGCAGACTGTTCTGTGATCATGAGAAGAGGATGAGTAATTGATAATTAAAGGTGGTCCTTTACTCTTTGCAGTCATACAGCCAGCACTAAAAAATACCCCATCTGGTCATACAGTGGAGGAGAGTGGCTGCTCAGACTTCTCGAGCCTGTTGCAGAACTGTGTCGGGTGACTGGAACAAATAATTTTCACCGTCGCATTATTGCAGCTAGTGACCGCAAAGTGTTAATTCTCCTGTATCTTGTCATCATCACTTTCAATCACCGTGGTATTGGGTATAGGCCACAAGAAGGCTCTCCCTCTGTCTCTGTTTTGGCCGATCTTCTCTTCCTCCAGCCAGCTGTGCCACATGTATGTCTGAGATATGCCTCCAGATCTCATTCCAAGGTGGACCTCAGCCTTCCTCTCTTTCCCCTCCCCTGGGGATTCCATCATAGGTTTTTGTCTTGTTATACGCTGTGCACACTACGGATGGGATCGGCCGATCGCCCTACTCGGTCTCCTCAAAAACAAATGTGTTTGTTTTCAGTTTCAGGCGACCAAGTCTGGCGATCGGCCGGATCCAGCTGTAGTGGGCACCCCATATACATTATACACTGGCTTTTCGTAGCTTTGTATCGTTTCTCTGAAATTTACCTCATTTGATTTTGTGTGTGTTTTTTCAGCAACTGGATAAAGAAAAAGAGGAAAACAAAAGATTGCAACAGCAACTGGAGGAGAAAGACAAAAAGATTGCTGAGCTGGAAAAGGCTATTGAGCTGCTGAACACTGTAAGTCGTATGGTTGGTTTAGGCTCTTATCTTCTGGTATACATTCAGCTTTGGAAATGTCGAGGAAATTCCATGCTTCAAACAGAATCTGTGTTGTTTTGTTTCTAATGTTGAATTGAGTGTTATATTGTACTGTATTGATGATTACTTTTAATAAGTCAGAACTTATGCATTGTTTAATAATATGTGCGGAGTATAGGCTTTGTTCTATTTCAATCAGATGTGGAAGTTTGTATGGTTAAGAATATTGCATTTTTGCTTTGTTATGGAATTTATATCTTTTAAAACTGTTAAATGTTATGGTTTGTGTTGACAGACAGATGCAGTCTTGGTAATAACCCCATTCTCCAACCCCCTCTTTTTCCATTTGTGAATTTGGTTACTGATTTTTACAAAGGACAGATTCATTTGAAGACTTTTTATCAGGGCAATATTCCAATACTATGGTGTGTCATGGGCTCCGAGGGTTGAACCAAAGGAAAACTTTTGTAGTTGAATCTCATGGTCTACATTTGTTGATAAGGTTTGTTTCATTTGACCATAGTTAAATGTTTACTCATTAAGAAAGAACCATTATTATTTTGAAAGATAATGAAGCTTTATGACGTCGAAATGTTGTAGCCAAGAGAGAAGCCTGCAAGCTGTGCACACCCACAAGTGGAAATCAAAATGTGACAAACTCTTCTCTACCAGAATTGGTTTCATTGGCCTTAACAGTAAGCCGCAAGTCATCTTAGTCTTTATTTCTTCTATTTTGTCAAAAATTATTCTCCTTGGTCGATGCACTGGTCATGCCTCGATATTGTTAAGATTTAAGTTAAAATTTCGCATTCTGTGGATGCTGTGTTTATTCCAGCTGTGCCCAAGAGTGCAGATACATTTCATGAAGAAAAGGTCTAATACATTTCTTTTCCTTTTTTCTGAACATCTGACTGGATGCAGAAATAAGTGTATGTAAGCTCTTCTTTGTTTGTGCTTGTTTTTGTCCTTATAGTGGTAGAGCATTTTGCCCTTGAGTGTTGTACCTGTGGCATTCATTGATTGTTCCTGTGAGTATTGCTATAGATTTGTATTGAATGACTGATGATGTTTGATCGATGTAGTCGTAGCATCAAGCTCGCATCCTGTCACTTCACATTATGCCTGTCTTTTGGTGAGGAATTTCAGATGCACCCTGATTAGTCCAGAATTTACGTGGGTGGGATTTTCAGTTAGGTTATTCCCTCTACCATAAGTTGAAGCATAATCGAGATATTCCAGATTTTGACGTCACAAACATGTCAGTACTGGTCCAAAAGACACTGTTGATGCTATTCAGCATTTCTGTATCTTGTTGTTTAGGAACTTGCTAGTCTACATGAAGCTACATGCACATTTACTTATCATCATCAAGTGTCAGATCTGCGACAGACATCAGAAATCATGGTTCTCCATTCATTCCTGTGCTCGGATGCTCTCAACAAACTTACAGTATCCTGATCTTATGTCTATCAATATGATGTAGAAAAAGAGTTACTTTTATATTAACTTTTCAACTCTTTAGTCAATAGTTCCAATCGTCTTTCTCCTGGCTTTGATTAGCATCTTCAATCTCAGAACAGTTGAGCCTGCTTTGAGAGCCCATCAAAGGCTCAAATTTTCCTTTGATTCTTCTGCATGTGTATGGTATGCACTACCTGCATGTGTTTGCCTGTCGTGATAAGGACAATCTTCATCAGTTTTTTTAACTGTGCACCATGCAATAGACAGTGGAGTATCATTTCTCCTGTGGTTTTTATTTGTTTTTTGTTTGTTTTTTTGTTGTTGTTTGTTTGTTTTTTAAGGGGGGGGGGGACTTTTTGAATTTTTGTTTGGGTTCTTTTTGTGTGTTTATGTTGTTTTTTAAAGTCTTGATGAGAATGCACTAGTAGTTTCATTAAAGCAGTTAACTGCGGCAGTTCAAATTGTTTCTCCAAGGGAAATATCTTATAGTGTTGTGTTGTGATGTCATGAATATTTATGAGCTCATAATGCTTCTGTTGTCACAGTGTGTTTCTTCAGTTTTGTGCTGTGTTGTTTCCTGCGGTGTTTGCCTCATGTTGTCCCATTCCTTGGTCACATTCAGCCTTTCACTTCCCAGTGTGCTCCTTCTTTCCTATCAAATATCTATTGTCCTTATCTCTCCTCTTTCTTTGTATGCTTGTTACTCTCTTGTAACACCTCTAATCTTCGGTGCTTATATGGCATTGTGTTGCAAGTGCCATAAAATACTTACTATAACAATAAAACAAACGAACTGTAGATGTTTATATATTTGGTCATTGAAATTTAACTTTCTGTGTCTTCGTGTACTCAGCCTTTCAATTTCTCAGGTTAAATGTATTCTTGAATTGTCATTTTGGCAGTTAGAATTTTATAAATGAGAATTTTATGAATTTTTAGATGACTCTTTTTAAACGGTGGATTTGGAGCCACTGGTAGGTCTTGTACTTCTTTTGTATCCAATTTTTGTTTCTGTTTGGCTCGCTGATATGACCGTTGTTGTATCAGTGTGCTTCTCTTTACTTGTTTATTTTACTTTAATCAATTATAAAAGAAGTGGGATATTTTAAAGAGAATTGGAGAATGGTCTCCATGGCCATTTCCTGTGAGGAATACCTTATGAAACATTGATTACAGTCATGACATGAATCGCGGCTGATCAGAAATGACATGAACTTGTGTGTGCCCGTGCTTCAGAATGAGCTTGTTTGCCTGCGGCTGGCGCTATTATGTGCTTTGCTCCTTCTTTCCTATCAAACATCTGTTGACACCCCGGGGCAGTGCCACTGACTGTAGTGTCTTTAGGCCATTCCCAAAGGGGGGACTTTTCTCATTCAAGCATAGTAGAATTGTAAATGGGCTGACTCATGTCATGCTCATAACTGCCTGATCTACAACAGGGAACTGCTGCTTTTTCTTTCCTGATCCTTACTATTGTCATTTTCCTCTACTTCCTTTGTGTGTTTGGCACTCTCTTGTGACCTGCTATTTCCGGGATGCCTTGATAGTCGAAGCAGACTTTGTGCTGTTGAAGCTAGAGAGTTGAGCAGAATAAGCCTGATTCCCTGTAAAGACCTCTCTGTTGACACCCACCCCTTGGCGCTCATATAACCTTCTGCAGTTGCGAGCACCGTAAAACCCTCTACTATAAAAAAAAGAATATCGTCTATATGTCTCCTCCTTCTTTTTTGTGTTTGTTACTCTTTTGTAACGCCTCAAGTCTTCACACTTATGGTATGATCTTATCTTGTTGCAAGTACCGCAAAACTCTTACTCAAACCAAAAGTGTGTTTGCCTGTTATCCCATCAGTGTCCTAGTCTCTGCTTTCCTTGTTGTTTTCATCAATGTTGTCATCTGTGAGGGGTTTTTCCATGTTCCTTTCATTGTGCTTGTTGTCAGGGAAGAGGGGGGGAGGGCACCGCCACTGGCAGGTCCCACAGTCGAACCTGCTTGTGTTGAACTCGCTTGATTTATCTTCAGTTCGGTTAAGTTGATCTTTTTCTTGGGTCCCAGCACCTCTTCCTCTGTACAGGTCCTGACGGTCAAGTTGAACTTCGGATGATTTGATCTTTTTTTCACACCCCCGACAACATCAGCTCATTTGTAGTCTACTGTATAATGAATTATGATTTTCCAGTGATTACTTGCTTTTACTTTTTATTTGTATCTTTTCATCAGTTGGTGGGTGGTTCACAGGTGCTCTGGTGTGGTTAGCTCCTTCTTTCCTATCAAACAGCTATGGTCCTTATCTTTCCTCCTCCTTTTTTGTGTTTGTTACTCTCTTGTAACGCCTCTAATCTTCGGCACTTATATGACCTTATTGTGTTGCAAGTGCCGTAAAACTCTTACTGAAACTAAACTTTCCATCAGTTGTTCCTGTCTACCTGTCTTATTTTTTCCCTGCAATTGGTGACTGTTGTTGTATCGATGTAAATGTGCTTCTCTTTACTCAAACCAACCAGTCTACACCCACTGTGTACATTTTATCCAATTTCTTAGTCATGTTTGAGATTGCCTTGTGCCCATGGTACAATGGAACTGACTTTCCTGCCTGTTCACTCCGGTAGTTTAGTGTTTACCTAAGATAGAACACATGTTCGGATTGCACTCTCTCTCTCTCTCTCTCTCTCTCTCTCTCTCTCTCTCTCTCTCTCTCTCTCTCTCTCTCTCTCTCTCTCTCTCTCTCTCTCTCTTTCTCTCTCTCTCTCTCTCTCTCTCTCTCTCTCTCTCTCTCTCTCTCTCTCTCTCTCTCAGGTTGACTCTCAGTGTCTTTAGATCAACACTTCACTATCTCAGAATTACGAAGTTCTATTTGACATTTGTAGCCATTATGAGTTATTAAACCATGAGGTCAGAAACTAAATTATGTTCTTCCTGCTCTATCAAAATTGCAAGAATATTGGAAGTCGTCATCAAGGTATTCAAAGAATTACATTTTAAAAAATCTTAACATGTTGTGAAACAAAACATTTTTAACGTCATTTCTCAAAACTAGGTACTGAGCAGATGGAACTTTGTAATTCTAGGGTAACGATTTGTACCCTGAGAAGACTATTATGTTAAATATTTTTTGTTTCATGTATTATTGTCCTGAGTTTAATTGATTTTTAGAATTTGTTTAGGTTGGGGGGGGGGGGGGGGTTTGTGTGGAGGGGGTTGCAGAGAGTATATTTCAAAGTATGAGTTATAGTTTCATGTTGACTATGTCCGTCTGTATATTTTGTCTTTCTTTGGCCAGGCTCTGTTATTCAAGGCCCACATGGCAGGGGTTTTGTGTATATATATATATATATCAACCTATGCTTTTCCTGTATATATTGGATGTTTAAGTAAACTGAGCAGTGAGACAGGTCACGTGGCTCTACAGGAACAATTATTACATTTGTGTTATTCTTGTTTTTATTTTATCCAAGAAGAATGTTCCAGAAAGGATGTGTATTTCATGGCCCATATATAATAAGCAGGATGGCCCAGTATATGATAAATACCAGTCTTCAAGTGTGATGTGATCGAGAAGAGGCGAAGAAAATGACAAATATGTTCCAGCACAGAATTGAAGATTTTTTTGTATTTTTCTCTTCATGCCACTTATGATTCATTCCAGAATTTCTGATCACTGCTAGTGACTGTCCATCTAATATACTGATAGATATTCTGGTGTCTCATTTAGTGATGATGAGGAAACCTATGAGACATAACGTTATGCCGTTTTAGTACCTTAATTCTTAAATTCATACTTAGTACTATTCATATTAGATGGAGAGAAAATTTTCTGAGATTCTCCTTTTTTACTCTACTTCTTTCACAATGTTAATTAACAGTAAAACCTCAGTTTGACATACTGCGTTCAGACCCTCGATTTTGAATGTTACAGCCGAGGTACATATTGGCCAAAAAGAGTAAAATTAATTACTAAAGGAAATTGAGGCTTCAGAAAGTGAATGCTACAGTCAAAAATACATTGTAAACTGTACATCATACCTAGAATTTACTCAACGATAATAATAGCATTTATTTAGCATAATATCCCGCTGGGAAACAAGCTGTGAATGCTGCACAGTTATTTCAAGTATTTAGTACACTGACACAAAAGTGCAGTGGGTGGTCGGCGAGTGCTCTGATGTGGTATGTTCCTTCTTTCCCATCAAACATCTTGTGACCTCAGTGCTTTCTGTCTTATGATGTCCATTTTTTTATAACAGTGAAAACAGTTCGTAACAAAGAGTGAGCTTAAGAAGAAGTCACATTTTCACTATTTTAAAAAATGGAGATACAACAAGAAAGCACTGAGGTTGCGATCTATCATCCTTATCTCCCTCCCTTCTATTTTGTATTTGTTACTCTCATGTAACACCTCTAATCTTTGACACATACATGACCTTATTGTGTTGCAAATGCCGTAAAACACTTACTAAAACTAAAACAAACAAAAACGCATGTTATATGATGCCAACAACTTGTTGTTTTTTTCTGTTTACCAACAGGAATGCGACGGTCTTGACGAAGACAACTTGAAGCTTCAAGAGGAGAACAAAGCGCTGATCAGGGCCATGTCGAAGCTCACCACAAACGTCTAGGGGGACTGGAGACCTCTGGCTGAGAACTGCACCGGAATAATTCAGAACATCGGAGCATTATAGATATATGGTGTTGTATTCAAATTTGGACTCAATGTTGTTGTCAAACTTGGAACTACAGTTGAAATTGTCCAAGGCAGCCATCCCAGGAGAAAAGTGGTTGTCTTAGACAAGTGGACATCTTGAACAGTGTCATTATAATATTTTTAAAACGCAAGGGGGGGAGGGAGAAGTGGTTGTTTGTAGGGGTGATTGTCCTGGGCAGGTGGTCGTTTGAGCATGGTCGACTGTAGTTATATGCGTTGCGCGTAGATAGCATAGCCGATGTCTCGTTCTGTACCAAGAATGTTTACAAGTCTGTGGTGAACGTAACCGTAGCGGGAGCCAACCATAGATTATACCATCTGTCCTACGTCTCTCTTATTTCTACTTGTTACATTGATGTTCACGATACCTTTTCTTTTACATTTTGCCTCACGGAGTCTGCCCAAAGAGCGGAGATTCCAGCGACTCCTGGATAGTGACACAAAGCTAGGTGAAATTGAAAGTGATAGTGCATTGTCTTTTTCACCATCTAGCCTTCACATCGAAGGCTCACGAAATTTCATAATGATTCTATATTCAGTTTGGTTAACCATTGCCATGTGGGGTGCAGTGTAAAGGTTGGCAGACTGTTAGGCTCTCAATTAGAGCATTCGCGTACTTTGTGTAAATCCCATTGATTGAATAAATGACTCTCACAGTGTGGGAAGGAAAGGTGTACGGCCGCAGTAATGTGGAAACATGCTGTTTGACTTGTAGAGCCTTATAAAGCTAGAGACGAGGTGATTACATATTAACATTGATTGTCATGACCCGTGGCAATTTTGTATCAAATTACTTTCCTTGGGTAGTGTGGGTTATTCATCAAGTGGGTTATTCTTGAGGAAAAGAATACCTGGTTTCTTTTTTTCTTTTCTTTTTTGTTTTAGTGAGAGCTTTACGGCGCTTGCAACACATTTAGGTCATAAAATGCTGAAGATTAGAGGTGTTAATACAAAAGAGTACCAAACACAAAAAAGAGGGAGGAGATTATAAGGGTGATAGATGTTTGATAGGAGAGAAAGGAGCAAACCATACCAGAGCACCGGCCAACCAGCCACTAGTTTCATCTTGACCATTCTTTGATAATGTTTGTTGCAAAAAAGACGAGCACCGTCAGCTCCTGTCAACTACAAGCAGAAATTTCGTATTCTGATTCTGAGACTTGAATAGTGGAAGCGCTAGTGAACGGCCGAAACGGGCTATGTGTAGGGCATAGTTCTACAGTTTTCCTAGTGTATGGAACATCAAAATCTAAAAACGATTGTACATGTACATATATATATATTATCATATGTTTATCTTTGCAGTATTGTTACACTGTTGGAAGATTGTTAGAAAAAATTATAACTTAACCCTTTGACCTCCCTAATCTGCATGATCTTATACACCTAAACTCCTGTGAATTGACTGATATATATATATCGTCGGCCAGCTGTTCAGATGTGCTCTACCCAAAATTTAGACTTGAAAAAATTGCAGTATCTCAATCTGTAGTATTAGTTGCAAATGCTCCAGAAATATTTTTTCAAAATTGAAATTCTTAAAGCTGAAAAAGGCACAAAAAAGATATATAAATTAGGTGCAATTATTAAAAGAATGAAATAGTTTTATATTGTAAAACGCATAGAGCTTTTCGCTGTTGAGTGGGAATTTGTACTTTATACAAGTGCTATTTATTATTTACTGTTATTATTATTTTATATCTCTGTCCTGAAAAATGTTGCGCTTTAGAATATTTGAACAGTTTGTCGACAATATAGATATACAGCACTCTACACAGAGATGTGCGTCCGGTACACAGAAGGGTAAAGGTCATCCTGTTTCCGTGGATTGACACTTTCAGTACCGTCAGCGACTTTTGTCGCCCGGCCGTAGTATGCGCTCATTACCACTGGCGACTTTAGTAGCCAACTTGACCAGGCACACTAAACATATATTTTAGACAACAAACGATGCCACCGCACTGAAGTAAATACAAAAGGAAGTCAATTTGTTTGACAGCTGAATGGTTGATGAAACACTGAATTTTTAAGGCGTATTTCTTGAACTGTGAAAGTTTTAAAAGTAATTTTTTTTTTTATTCTTCAATAGCTTCAGCATTCTAAACTGGTGCGGTACTTGAGGGCTTCTCCCTATATGAGCCTTTGGTACTGTAAGTGGTAATGACACTTGTACAGTTTTACCCTCACCGATGTGATTGTTGGATTGGTGGAAAACTTCTGTTAAGGCTCGCTGATTGATTGCCCCTGGGTACATCATGTGACTCGGGACTGCGTTCCTCTCCCCATTTGGCTCAATATGATCATGGTTGTGCTGTAGTGAGATTGTATGCATGCATGTTTTTGTCCATGGCAACATTTCTTCTCTGCCCGGTTTAGAAAATTTTTGTCATTTATTAGCTTTAGTATTTAGTATAATGGTTTGTTGATTTTGTTCATTTTGTCTGTCTCTCACTTGCTCTAGCTCTAGCAGTGTGTCTTATTCAGCACCTGACACATAGAAGGTGATAAAATTGGTCGTCTTTGTGCTAATCTGTGAATCAGATCAGAATGGGATTCTAAGTTGGTGTCATGCTGTACTACAGAGCAGATGGCTCGTGTTCGAATCCCCAACAGGACATTCTTAATTTGGGTAGTTTTGGGGATTTTAAGGCTCTATACCAACTTGACTTTGTCTTATCGGACATGGATGTTTAATTTGGAAGTCCCTCCTCTTAAACAACCTTACAGTGTTGAAAATGGGGTTCAACCCATACAATGAGAGGGATAGTTGGGTCAGGGCTTTTGTTTTTTATCCTTCATATATAATATTTTCTTCTGAGCTTCGTGTTCAAAATGAGCTACATTTTGGCAAGTAATGGTGTTTGTTTACCGTCAACTAATCTCAAAAGGTTTGAAGGGAGGGTTTAAATCCGCATCTAGTTTTACTGTACCAACACAGAGTGACTTTGAAAATTTCGTGTTAGTTTCAGTCAGGTCATAGTGAGCCTGCAATCTTTTGTTTGTTGGTGGATTTTTTTTTTCTTTTCTTTTCTGTTAGTTATTTTGTCTTTTTTTTTTTTTTTTCCCTTCCTTGTAAATAGAAAACTACTATCGAGTTAATGAAATGCAGGTTATTTTAGACATTCCTTTTTACACAAGTAACAGAGCGGTCTCCCAGTGTCTGGCAGTCTCTACATAGATGTGTATTCTGTGTGTTGCTTTCCTTTCTTCACTGTACATAGTTTATATTTAAAGATCATGTGATACCATTTTGTACATAAATATATACCAGTCTGATTTAGATATATATACGTGAATACGTAATTTCAGACATGATGCATCAAAATGGGTTGCTTTTAAGGACAAGCGGGCTAACCAGGATTTCGGGAGTTTCCCGAAATCTTGACCTACACCAAAAGTGGGCATTGCTCTGCCTATAGGAGAAGTTTGGTTTCATTGGTGTGTTTATTTGTTTGGGAAAAGAGAAAAGTCTCTTTGCCTTTTAAAGAAACTGAACAAGAGTCCAAAAACTTTACCTTCGATTTTCTCAAGACAGCATTTTTCGGGATAGCCCCCTTGTGCTCAAAAGCGACCAAATCGTGTTGTGGGGGGTGTCGAATGTGCAAAACCAGAGAGTTGACAAAACAAAAATGTCTTTCATTCTGTTCTCTGATATACAGACATACTTTGTAGGCTTTGCTTTTTTCTGTTCTCACCACTTTTATTTCGCAGAGTGGCTAATTATGTTGTGTTTTGTAACGCTGTGGATAATTTGATGCGCGTAACATGCTTTCTTCCATAATACTAATTTGTCCAAGGAGGAATGACGGCACTCTGTGGCCATGATGCAATGAATGAAAAGAGATATATGTGTATATATATATGTACGGTATATCTCACTGGGCGGTTGAGTTGAAATGATCAGCACTAACTCGTGTTTGCGTTTTATGGTCATTGTTTTATTGAGTACTTTCTGTACTGCATTTATTTCCATCGCATGTACTCTGTACCTACATGTACTTTTTGTGATTTATCAGCAGTGGCTCTTGTGGAAAGGAGTACGTTTGTTTAATTCCCAAACTTGGTGCATATCGAATTATTTATGATTTTTATTTAAGTTGTATTAATTATGGAGAAGAAAAACATTCCATTTGTCTCACAATATTAATCATTATGTGGGTTTTATTTCCCATCTGATAACTACTACTACACCACATTTCCAGAGAGTGATCTTTAATCCTAACCATTTCTGTATGTCATAAGTTTTGTCATGTGTTGTGATGGATGTTAATCTAAGATTCCCACACGGAGAGAAGACCCGACCAAGTCACACGTAGCTGTAGTAGTGAATGTTGTACGTACCCACTGAACTACTAGATCAGCAGGCCCACACCATGCTAGTCACACCTGCAAGTACCATTATTATTATGTGGTTCCTACATTGTTTTTGCTTCCGCGTTTTCAGACGGGAAATTTTCATACTTTTGACGTGTCCGTGTCAGTGCTACATATTTTTTGTTTTGTGATGTCATCGGAGTAATTTTCAGTCGAACTGTTACAGAATTGATTTCATGGCCTTTTCTAATTTGGATCATAAGCGCGTGTGTCTTGGTAGTCCTGTGCGATGAAGGCCCCCTGGTCATTGTCATCCCTGGAGTGGTATACTAAGACAGAAAAGTTTTTGTTGATGTGTTAGCTTTCGTTGGACTGCCAAATTTGCACGTTTTGCCAAACACTCTTTCTCTCCATAACAGCATCATGTGTGGTCGGAGAGTTTTTACTGGCGTTAAATAATTTTTTTTTTAAGATCTTCTCAATGCTCATTGAAATCTGACCAGATACACAGGATGATGACCCTCATTGTTCTGTGCTGTATGCTCTTTCAAATCTCAACAATTTCTCCAGTTTTCTGTTTTAGAATGACACCTTGTCTATGGCCCACTGGGTTGATGTTTTCACTGTGAACAACAGAGATGGATTCAATTCCCATGTGTGAGGAAAGTATTGGGTTGAGTGTCTCTCTGCCTTTCTGCGTGGATAGTGTAACAACAAACACAGCCTGACTGGATGGTCCTGACAGGCAATATCAAAGCACCCCCCTTCTTTAATGATCTAAATTGTGTGATAGGTCGGGGTGTAAGATATTGAGTCATGTTCACCGCGGCAGCGACAGTCGTTGTATCAAGGCCGTTGGAGAATTTTGTGTCTGGCTCGTGGTTTGATATTGCGCAAGGGACATCATGTGGCCATTTGATATATATTGCACAAGTAAAATCTTTTGACCGTTATGGTTTATTTCTCTCACTGCTCTTTGTCTTTGTTGACCTGCCGAGTACAGTCTATTAATAATAATATTATATTGCATTTATACAGCGCTTTACATCTTAGACATGATTATTGGTATTAAAACCTCATACACACAAGAAAAAACTTTTCATATAAACAAGAAAACCTTTTCAACCACATAAGGAGGAACTTTCTCAGCCAAACAATAATTATACTTAAAAAGGAAAGCCATTAAAAAGATACATCAGCACGTGCTAACACACTCCAACTAAGACTTGCATTAGGATGTGTAAACTTCATTTGTCTGCAGAAATTTTGTATCCAAAATGTGCACCATTTTCACACAAATTGTGACAAATATAGGTGCATGTTTCTTAGAAATTTCCAGGTTCAGAAACAGCTACTCAAGAATTACAAAATTCTTTCTACTTATTACCTAGTTTTGAGCAATTTGACATAAAAGATTTTGAGTTTCACAACCTGTCAAGCTTTTTCAAATGCATATTTTTTTAATATCTTGATAACAACTCCGGATAATCTTACGATTTCGATAGAGCAGATAGAACACATGGTTTCTAACCTCATGGTCTTCGTATTATAGCTCAAGCGGCCAAAAATGTCGATAGAACAATGTAATTCTTAGGTAACGAAATTTCATTGACAACCACACAAAATG